TAAATTTATATTAAATAATACTGTCTATTAAATAAATATTGCATGTTAAATAAATATATATGAAATAATATAATGAATATATTTTAAATATTAAATAGTTTCAAATGCCATGTTACACACATTTTAGATGCTTATACATTCCTTACCAGCCCATGGATGAGCACAGCCTAGCAACAKGTGCCCTGGCTGCAGTTTATTAGAAATATTTGCAACAGAAAATTCCAGAATTTAGTCCAGAACACCACCAAATTCACTAATTCCAGCCTGGAACACCAAGGTTTAGGAGCAGGGGAAAGCCTGGGCTGTTTCCCCCTGACACAGAGGTGTCCTACAAGGGATCCTGGTTCCTCCCTGGAGCAGGCTCAGCTCCCACTGGGCAGTGAAATGCTGAGGAATGGCTGGTGGGAGCTGCAGRGGGAATGCTGCCAGCACAATTCCTGCTATTCCTCACCAGCATTTCCTCCACCAGGGAATTTTCCTGCTTCTTTCATGCTCAAGAACCACAAAGTTKAAAACATTTGTTTCCCAAGGAGCCAGCAGAGCCGCCAGGTAAGCAGGAAAAGCACCCAGTGACACATGGCACCCACTTAACATTCTGTCACACAATATTTTGATTTAATTTGTTATGGAAACTGAGCTTCAAAGCCCCGTGCTTATTGACACGGTTCGAACTCAGCTGCGAGAATTCGCAGGGCACAAACCACCTCTGAAGGTTTACAATTAAACTATTTTTAAACCTTTCTCAACGTTTCTCTTTTTCCTGTTCCACCAGCTTTTGATGTCTCAAAGACAGCTCAAAGAAAGCAAAGCACCCAAGGCAACAGCTCTTTTTCCATTAAAAGCTCTTTTTCCATTAAGCACTCGAGACCAGAAATTGTCAATCACCAATTTGTGCAAATCCTCATTACCCGAGRTCCTGAACAGATGTCACGACATTATCAAAGCCTGCACGCTCCAGAGCACCTCCAGTCGTGTAAAACCACTCCAGAGGATTTCACTGCAGCTCCTTACAACTGTTACTCCAGTTTATGGGACTCAAATSGGTCAGAAATGGGGGTTTTGTTTGGGTTTTTTGCTGCCAGGTTGCGGGACAACAATGAATAGGTTCGTGCAGCTCATTTTCCTTCTCCGTCGAGTCTGCAAATCCACAGCACAGCCACATCCCTTCCTCAGCAGATCTGTAGGATCTGGGTGTCTGAAATCCCAGTCCCAAARCTSACAAAGAGCCYRGGGGACTGATGCCTYAARATTTCAGCTTCTCTATTTCCATGTCTCTGTAACCCTGRGATTCTYCAGTGTTTMACTCCAGACTCCACAGACAGTGCTGAGCTCCTGCTCTCCCATTTTTACACAAAACAATTCCTCTGCAGCCCCAAACTCAAGGACACCTCCCTGGGCCAGGTCCCAAGAGATGGAAACAACAGAGAACTGGGGAGAGCCAAGTTGGAGTTTTTGACTGCATTGGCTGCAGCTGCAATTGGAGGATTCAGCCCCGATTTTGTGCAAATGGACAAAAGTGAGAAAGGGTGAAAAAGCCGTGAGCCATTGTCCATTGTGGGTGTGGGACTGGCCTGGATGGCCCTGAAGGCCCTGCAATAACAGAACTGCTTTGGATTCTCTCAAGTCTGTCCAGGTTCTTTAGGTAAAGCCAGACTTTTAGGCATCACCTTCCAGCACAGGATATTCCATCATTCCGTGATTCTGGGAGCTGGTATGAGAAAAAGAGACAAATGGAGACACACAGAAGGACTCAGTGATGGTTTAAACCTGAGATCCACCTGATTTTTCCAAAAACAAGTTATTCCTTTTACCAACAAACCCCTCGTGCTCCAAAGGACGAGCGATACGATCGAGGCACGAGGCGAAACGTCCAACCTCGGCTTTCTGCAGAGATAAGGGAGGAACGAGATTCCTTTCCTCAAGGCCACGGGGAAGGATGTTGTAGTAAACAAGGCATGAAAGAACGAAAGCTATGCTGACACGTGGGGAAGATGGAATTTTAGATACGTTATATAAACGTAATCCAGACAGAAAACAACAAAAATCCACACCAAAACAAGAGGCGCGGTTTACAGCAAAAAGTGAGCTGTCCATAACTGAGAAAGGCAATGGAATGGGAGGAAGTATAAGATTAACCACAAGGAGATTATGCTGATAACTAATGATCTCTGCAGAAATGTCAGGCAGAGGTTAAGATTTTAATCCAGGCAGATTTCACAGCGCAGCCATGAATCGTAAACATCGACACCGAAACCGAATTTGTGTTTGTGGGTGACAGGACTGAAAACAAACAGGGTGGAAAAAGGAATGGGATTTACTCCAGATCTCTGTTTCTTATTCCAGACCCCCCTTTCATTCTCCAGATCTCTTTTTCTTATTCCAAACCCCCCTTTCATTCTCCAGATCTCTTTTTCTTATTCCAGATCCCCCTTTCATTCTCCAGATTTGCCTTTCTCATTCCAGATTCCCTTTTCTCATTCCAGATCCCCCTTTCTCACTCCAGATCTTCTTTTCTTATTCCAGAACCCTTTCATTCTCCAGATCCCCCTTTCTCACTCCACATCCTCTTTTCATTCTCCAGATCCCCCTTCCAGCCTCCCCTCCCTAACACATCCATSCTCCCCTGATTTCCCCTGCAGATCCACCCCAAACTCTGCACTCTACACAAACCTTCACACACTTAACAGATGCCACAGTTTACCCTGAACTTCCAATAATTTTTCCCAAGGCCATATCTGATCCGTGGAAAGCAGAGATGGAAGCAGCACCTCGTTGCCAGTGTCAAACCCATTGATTTTATGCGCCCACAAAAAATTCTCTCAGCTCCTTGAGTCCTCCTGGCTTTGCACACCCTCCCCTGTTCACCCAAAACTCACCATGGTTTATTTCCTTTATTTCCAGGCGTAAGAATTTCCTCAGCAGCACCAAAATAGACCCTGTTTGCCTGCAGAGTCAAGTGATGCGTGATGCATTTTGATGTATTTTGATGTATTTTGATGCATTTTGATGTATTTTGATGTATTTTTATTTACTACTTGCCCTCATCATTCTCAAACCAGCAGCAGTGACCATTTTTGAGGAATTCACTGAGTACCAATGCAAATTATCCCAAATATCCAGAAATCCACTGGCTCACCATCTTCCCCTCACTCTGATCCCTGAAGGTTTTTGTGACTGTGCCACATCCCTC